CAAATTTAGAGAAAATGTAAAAGGATTTACATAAGACAATTGTAAGAATTCATTTGTCAAGACTGGGAGCTTTTTGCACCAGGCTGACTCATGGAAAACCCTCAATCAGGAAAAATCGGTTTAAAAATTACAAATCATTATGGGTCGATTATATATTGGGTATTTTATTTCTGCATGCTCATTTCTTCATTTAGATTAAGTTTGCCGTCATTTACTGTAACGCTCACTTAAAATTCATCTTTAAAAACAGAATACAAATACAGTTTATTGCAATGACTTTTCATTTTGGTTTTACAATTTACACATGAGTCATCTGAAAATACAGGCTCAGCAGCATTTGGCATTTTAAACAACTTTCCGCTTGCCAGCCTGAGTGATTTTGAAGATTTTCTTCAGCATTGTTAAAGATGAAGTTGTGATTTCTCTGCCACTAGTGCCACTAAACAAAACTGCAAAAGCATTTACTGTTTTCAAACAAGTTTCTTAACACTCCTCAACTGCCATTGGTTGAACAAACAGATAGCCCCGCCCCAAAACTCACACTATTGGTTGAGCCAGTGTTGCCGTGCTGGACTGCTTAATAATGTCTGACAGAGCCACAGTGAGGGAAATCTGCCTACAAATGGCTTACTTATACTTGTCTCTGCATATTAAGATAGGATAGAGTTGTTTAACATCACAAAAAAAGTATACAATTTAGCTTTAAGTCCCACAGAAAAACATAAACAAGCAGCAAGTCAGAGGCTTACCAGCAGTAGAAGCAGTAAGGGGTGTTGTGGCAAGCGAATGAGGCAAACAGGTGAAAAGTTCAGGATCTTCTGTATATCAGGTAATGCTAGTTTTGGTAGATACATGAAAATGTGATCTGTGACGAGAGGAACGTTTGGCACAGCAGGTAACACCACAGCTCTACAAGTGACCCATTAATAGAGCATTTTAATGGCCTCCTATAGTTAGCTTTTAGAAGAACAATGTCAAAGCCATTCACACTCCCTTCTGAGCAACATGTCCAGACAATGAGCTCGTATTTTTAACCATGGGTCATAACAAATGAACCTTTGACTTGTAACAAAGTAGTATTATAACAGATGCTGCACTTTTTAAAAGATTTGCATCTGGTCTGTGACATCAGTGAGTTGTGGATTTGACAGACTGAAAATATCAGCATATCAGGCCTGTGTCAGACTGTTTGAAAATTATTCATTATAGATTGCAGTGATTATGCTTTTCTTCTTCTTCTTTTTTACATATAATTAAATGCAATCATATTCAATTATGTTGTAGAACTTATTCCGATTTTAACTTTTTATTAGCGATTGTTTTTATGCACTAATCTACTGTATGTATAAAAACCCAGTCTTAACATTTCAATTTATTTAATTTAATAATTTGTTAAGTTTAAAATAATTGTAAATGAATAAACTAATGGTAATAAGTTAAATGATTAGAGCTTTTATGCAATAAGCATACAACTTTTCTTCTCAACAAAGACAACATACTAAAACATACTAGTATGAATAAAAGCTTTACACACATTAATGATAATAATAATAATATCACAGTAAGGATTGAGCAACAAAACCTTGACACTTTACCTGCATGATGAACTTTACCACTGATATATACTGTAGGTTTGGCTGTTGCAAAAATGAATGAAAACATACATTTAAAGTATTTAAATTTACGCTGACCCATTTTTACATAAACTAAGACATATACAGTGGCACTGGCAACCCATATTTAATGTAATACCTGTCAGTGGGTAAGATAAATGGACATGTGGCACATTTTAGCAACCCATAAGCTGCTATTAGTGGTGAGAGAGTGGGGTAATGTAGACTGGTAGTTTGTGGAGAAATTATGGAAGGGAAAGACGACATTACCAACAAGACTTTTTCCTTTCTGCTCTTTGGTACTGAGCTACTGCTGATAACTGTACTTAAGACTCGCTCCTTTCCAGAAGACACTTTAAGGCATGAAATGAGGTGAACTGAAGTTGAGTCCCTTTATTTGAGTATTGCAACGATATGTACGCTGATGCCATTAAATGGTAAAAATGACAAATTTAACTGAAACTAAAATTCAAATCATTAAAAAAATGTGTCGCTTGAAATAAAATATAAACTTATTTCAGCTAGTAGCCAAAGTAACAGTTCTCATTTTAATTTAGTTTAACTTGATGTTCTAAATTAACCTAAACTAAAACTGAAATGTAAATGAATAAAAACTATGACATATAAAAACTACTAAAAACTAAACAACCAAATTATTATAACTAAAGGTAAACTACTATTAAACTGATAACTACTATAATTCAAATGAAAACAAAATATAATTTTATAAAAGTTATTTAAAAAATCATTTAAAAATGTGAAAAACTATAAAAGTATCTGAAAGATACTAAAATAACACTGGTATTTTCAACTAAAATAACACAGCAGAATTTTTTCAACTACCTTGTCCAAAGAAACATTTAAACAAAGAAACAATTGTTGTACAGTATGTCTAAAAAACATGGTAATGTCCAAAACAACATGTTTTGCAGGCATTATCATCCCATTATCTATTGTTAGTGGTGAATGGTGTCAATCCAAACTCACAACCCACTTTTTTTTTTTTTGGACATGTGCCTTGGTACTACAATGCTTTTTTTAAACCATGTCCCATGGGGTCAGCGTCCCAAAATAATATGGTAGTTTTTGTTACTTTTATGCAAGTTACATTGCAATTTCATTGTACAACCCTTAAAAAACAAAAATAAGATATAGCTGAAATTTGATCCTTGATCAAATTCTGGGCTACAAGAAAGCATGACTGATTTGCCCAAAATTATAGCGTTTGTATTCTGAAGGAATGCTTAGCTAAACAATAAGCCTCGAGAAAATTTCTTAACGAATGGTTCGGTGTACATAAATCATAGAGGACACTTGCAGAATCTAATATTAATAGGTATGAACGTATGACTCATTGGTCCATTAGTTCAACCACATTAATTTTTGTCATTCCTGCAGTTAGAAATGTACCTCTGTACTTCATACTGTACTTCTCCTTATTGCAAAAGACACAAATACCCACCCACCCGCCTAAACACACATACTGTACTGCTTTGATGTGGTCCCCATAGAGAACAAACTATGGAAAGGCACCGAATGACCCCACTCTCTCATATATACAGGCGTTTTTTCCTCTTAACTTCCCGGCAAGGGGTCTGGAGGTGCTTGTGTTGGATTTGTCTGTCCCACCCAAAACTTCAGGAATTCCTCCATATCTAGATCAGGTTCCAGGTCTGTGTTTGCGAGTGTATCCTGGGCTCCAACCAACAGCTGTGAGGTGTGTCTCTGTTATGCACGACCTTGCTAGCCGAAAACCTTTCCTCACATTCCCGCTTCTTACGTGTGCAGCCATCCAGGTTCAACAAATAGCATCAATGCGTATAAATATTCAAATCCAGCCATGTGTTTTATGTAAGACGCAGAATCCGTTTTGGATTTGGAGTGTGTTTGTTTTCTGTAAATGTTGATTTAAGATTAAATTAACCCTCTAAGTTCCATTAATAACGGACAAAATGAAAACAAATATATCTTTACTTAATGTTTAGCTTATGTGCAAAGCACAAAACCTCCTCTTCCGTTTTTTTGTGACTCATTTTACCCCTGACTAAATCAACAATGGTCTACATGCACCACATTGTTTGCAAAAAAAAACATTTTTTATGTAATGTTGTAGCCAAAAATTGGACAAAGGAGTATTTTCTCCAACATCAGAACCTCAAATCCCTTAACAGATGATGGGTGCTACAAAAAGAGATGTTATTTAGCTTATAATAAGCAGGAGTCTCTGTTTTCCCAGGCTTGGTAATTTATTGACCGACCGTTTTTGGCTGACAAGCTGAATCACAATCTGCGGAGCTTCAGTCTACACTGAGACATGTTGGTCAACCAGCTTTGCCTTATTACACCATGCTGCTATGTCTAATTTCTGGGGAAATAGTTGAGAATATTCACCTCGGTTTGGGTGGGGAAGGAACCATTTGGAGTCATTTTTAATGAATCATGATGTTTTTGTGCATATTGAAAACCCAAATGATAACATGAGAGTCCACTTATTACGTAAGATGGATGTATGTTTAAAAAATGGGAGTAAAAATTGTGCATTTCTGTAACTCTTACTTGAATTTTCATATGTAGAAGAGACCAGGGCTAGTTGTCACACTTTTCGCTCCAGTGAATATTATAGTGGTTTATTTTTTAAATTTGATTTCATTATAAATGCCTGATAACAAAAAGTGATTGAACATTTACAAAAAGTAACCTGTAGTAAGGCATGTTGTCACACTATAAGGAGTAAGATTAAGTTGTGCAATACTGTATATTTTTGATTCACTTTGAAGAACCAGTTCAAAAGAGTCATTTGTTCATAAATCACGCACCATACTTGTTCTGTATGCTTTTGATTCACTAACAAAAAAGGTTTAAAAGAGTAACTTCTTCATGGATCTAACAGGTACATTGGTTATGCTTTGTTTTTGATTCACTAAAAATAACTTATTTAAAAGAGTTATTTGTTCATGAATCAGACCACACTGATTGTGCTGTAATGCTTTTTTGATTCATTAAAAAACTGTTTAAAATAGTCATTTGTTCATGAATCACACACCATAGGCTTACTGGTTGTTCTGTATGCTTTTGAATCACTACAAATATTTAAAAGAGTCATTTGTTCATGAATGGAACTATGGGTAGCTACACTGGTTATGCTGTATGTTTTTGATTTGTCAAAGAAACAATATCTGGTTTAAAAGAGTCATTTGTTCATTAATTGAATCACACTGGTTGTGCAATACTGCATTTTTGATTCTGTAAGAAGAACCAGTTCAGAAGAGTCATTTGTTCATAAATTACACACCATACTGGTTGTTCTGTAAAAAAAAAAAAAAAGATAAAAAAGAAATTCTAAAAGAGTAATTCTTTCATGGTACTACAGGTATCGTGGTTGTGCTGTTTGTTTTTGATTCACTAAAAAATAACCTGTTTAAAAGAGTCATTTGTTCATGAATCGAACCACATTGGTTGTGCTATACTGCATGTTTTTGATTCAATCAAATGAACCAGTTCAAAGGAGTCATTTGTTCACGAATCACACCATACTGGTAGCTCTGTATATTTGATTTACTAAAAAAAAAAAAATCACAAGAGTGCTTGTTTCATGAATTGGACTACATTGGTTATTGTGCTGTGTTTTAATAATCAATTTTTGCTCTAGATTTAAACTAGTTGTGTTTGAACGCAACATACAAAACCACTGCTAGACTCAAAACTTTACAGTCACTGAGATACAGCTACAACTAACTTTATTTCCTTGTCTTTTTTATTTAACAGAGCCAGTCCAAAGTCCCATCTACCCTGCGCTTTACAGTATCAGACACTTAATAATGAGACACAGACCCAAGAACATGATGACAGACAGACAGGAGAAGTGAAGGGACAGGAGCAGCAGTAGTTCTCCCAGGACACTGTCTCTCGGGTGGGACGGGACAGGCTCTGTTATCTGAGGCATCTCACAGTAGATGCCCGTCCAGCCCTGGTAACACTGACAGGTGAACTTGTGCTTCATGTCCAGGATATCGTGGTTGTTGAGGTGGCCGCTGACATGGAAGCATGGTCCACGGATGCCGTGGTTGAGGCGGATGTTGAAGAAGCGTGGGTTGAGGTATAGGCCCCAGAGTCCAGGCTCTTACGAACACATTTGCCGTTCTTCTTGCACAAGGCCTTGCTGCACAGCTTAGCAGCTGAGGTCACATTGATCACATAGTGACCCAGTGGACCGTCAATGTACTTCTTGACTGTCAAGCAGTTTCTCTGCACAAAGGCAAACACATATTAAAGATATTAGAATTTATATATATACACATATATTTGTTGGTATCAGTTTATTGAGTGTATCAGTGTCATATTGTTACTCTTAACTAAAATTATTTAAAACATTTTTATTAATTGAAATAAAATAAAAAATATATAAATATTATATGAAAAACTTTTCAAAATTAGAAAAAGTAGATCTAAAAATTAATGTTGCCTTCTGGCAGCTTACTTAAAATAAGTTTATAATTAAGATATTATTACAGTATTATTCTTTTGAATTATTTGGAATTCTTATATTTGTATTTAGTCATTTGTGTGTGTGTGTTGTGTTTTTTTAATTAGTTTTTGCTTTTTACAAATATTTAAAAATCTATATAGTTTTATGAATTTTTATTGCAGTTTTAGTTAAGTTAATCTAAATCAACTTTTTCCTTTGGCAATTAGCTTAAAGAAAAATAAGTTTATATTTCTATATGTTTTATTTTATTTCAGTTAACGCTTATTTAATTTCAAGTAAGAAAAATGTTTTTTTAAGCTTTTAGTTTTTTAACTATAATAACCCTGACTAAAACTGAAATAAAACAAATTAAATCTAAATAGAAATATTACCAAAATAATGATAATATGTAAAAAAAATTACTAAAACTTCAACTAAAATAAAAATGATAAATACTATAATAGTATATAAATAATACTAAAATAATACTAGTTGATTATTGTGCAATTGTTCATGCTCATTTCCCTCATTTTTACATTTAGATTAACTTTGCCATCTAATGCTCATGTAAAGTTAATCTTTTATTAAAACACAATAACAATAATAATTTAATAACACAGTTAAATCTAATAATCTGTACACTATACTGTTATGATGGGTAAATTCACTTGTAGCATTTAAACGGATTCATTTTAGTTTTTCATGTTTTATTTTTAATTTGTTACACAAAATAATATAGCATTTAATACTGGCCATCTTCTTCATTTTTTCTCATGATAAAGTGCATGTGTTTCTGTTCAGCTCTATTTCCATCAACTTCACTGAACATGATACAACTCGTCAGAAATTTTAAGTTAAAATGTTTAAGCTCATTTACGTGCGAGACGAATAAACATAATTCCCATTATGTCATGCAACATAAAAATACATTAGCATTTTGTTAAATCTTTCCATCTGCTTCAGCTTACTCTCATCCCTCTGCTCTCTGTAAACAGGAAATGGGATTCACCCACAAAACGAGCATGTGTCCTTCAGGAGCACGTCTGTAAGTACTGTAAATACTTACAGCAATACTGTAAATCACCAGATACTGAGACGCCATCATGTCATCAGTTATGATGATACTAGTATTGTTTTATTTTAGATTTAGATTATTTAATTTTGATTGAAATGTCCTTTTTAAGATATGAATTGAGGATATAGTTTCCTGAGCTTTAAACATGTTTAATATGTTAATACCCTCAGTTCAAGCGGATGCTGATCCTCAAATGCGATTGGTTATGGTTGCTAATATTAACAATTTTTAGCTAAAATATGCAGCCAATCCAATCAAGGAGATTTAATGTTGGATAATATTGTTAGCATTTAGAGAATTATTGATTCGGTGATTTAATTTGTTCTATGTCTGATGTACATTACCATAGGTAAGTTTTTTAAAACAAGAAGCAAAGATGCATTAAATTGATGATAATAATAAGAAATGTTTCAGCAAATCAGTATATTAGAATGATTTCTGAAGGATCATGTGACAATGAAGACTGGAGAAATGATGCTGAAAATTCAGCATTGCATCACAGGAATAAATTACATTATGGAATATACTGAAATCTAAAAGTTATTTAAAATTGTAATATTTCACAATGTTAATACCCTCAGTTCAAGCGGATGCTGATCCTCAAATGCGATTGGTTATGGTTGCTAATATTAACAATTTTTAGCTAAAATATGCAGCCAATCCAATCAAGGAGATTTAATGTTGGATAATATTGTTAGCATTTAGAGAATTATTGATTCGGTGATTTAATTTGTTCTATGTCTGATGTACATTACCATAGGTAAGTTTTTTAAAACAAGAAGCAAAGATGCATTAAATTGATGATAATAATAAGAAATGTTTCAGCAAATCAGTATATTAGAATGATTTCTGAAGGATCATGTGACAATGAAGACTGGAGAAATGATGCTGAAAATTCAGCTTTGCATCACAGGAATAAATTACATTATGGAATATACTGAAATCTAAAAGTTATTTAAAATTGTAATAATATTTCACAATATTGCTGTTTTTACTGTATTTTTGATTACATAAATGTAGCCTTGAGCTTAAGAAACGTTCAAAAGAATTTGAACAGCACTGTAAATAATGAGTACCTGAGATCTTGCATATTCGGATGAGCCCCACAGGACCACCCCAGCAGCCCCCAGGTGCTGCGCTCTCTCCTATAGTGTGGACCAGGTCACTCTGTTCAAAATGAATATCGTTTTTCTTTATGTTAATGCAGAAAAGCAAGAGATCGAGTCATATAGTAGCAGGCCTGGAAAAGAAATGTGTTATTAGTTTTGCTCAATACAAACATCACAATCACTGGTGCTTGTATGTAGGGTTTAGCATTTGTATGTCAGCCATGAATGATACCTTAAATCATATGACTTACTGAAGAGAGGTGTGTAATCACACATTTGATTTTCGCTGGCGGGAAGTAAAACAATACAGTAGACCTACATGTATAATGTAAGGTCTGGAGCCTGTACTGTCACAATGAACATATGGAAGCTATCAGCTGTAACCTAAACTAGTCATAATAAGTACATTACCTTGTGATGTACCTCGTTGTCTAGAAAGGCGGGTGGTCCCATCAAACTGAAAACACGACTGCAGACCTACTGCAGAGTTTGATTTGGAACATTCCACTCATAATGAGGTGACAGATGAGTGTTTAAGCATATCTCTGGCATTTAAGATGCCGGGGAAGAGGGTGATTTAAGGGGTGGGTCTGTCACTCAAGTATTTGACGAATGATTAAAACAATGTGTGTTTGACAGGTTCCTCTAGATGGCTGGAAAGCGTGCAAAGTAGCAAGTTGGTACGGAGTAAAGCAACTCAAAACTTTCTAAGCAGTTGTTAAAGGGATAGTTCACCTAAAAAAGAAAATTCTGTCATAAATTACTCCCCCTCATGTTGTTCCAAAAGACCTTCGTTCATCTTGGGAACACAAATTAAGATATTTTTGTGATGAAATCCGAGAGCTTTCTGCACCCTGCATAGACAGCAACGCAACTGATACGTTCAAGGCCCAGAAAGGTAGTAAGGACATTGTTAAAATAGCCCAGTGATCCTCTGTACTGCACCCAAGTAACTGTCCCCTCATTTCAATGCTCATTCATGTAATTCATGACTTGATTAGGTGACTGTAATCTAGCAGAACTGGGAATTTTGTATTATTTACTATTTACTAGTATTTATTCATATTTTTAATTGGCTTTTATTTTTACATTTTCAGTTTACGTTTTAATTTTTAGTAATAATTTTATGTGCTTTTTTCATTTTTATTATTTAGATTTAATTTATTCCAATTTTAGGTTCCAATCTTATTTAGGTTTATTTCTAATTTTTGTTAAAGTTTTTTTTTTTCAATCTAATATGTATATTTTATTTTTTAGCATTAATATTACTCCGTACTTAAATGTATAATTATATTGTAACAAGGACACAAACTAAAGTGTAACCAACATTTTTGTATATGATTCTTGTACATCTCATGCCTATTTTTTCCCATTCCTCCATGCAGAATTATAATATATTGATGTATACAATATATTTGCATAAAAATTGCTGTAAAGATTTGCTCAAAGGAGCAGTTTTACCCAACTTTGTTGAAAATAGACTTATTTTAAATAGACTTATCCCTTAAATAGACCCTTGGATGTTTGGAAACTGTTTTGTAATTTTGGTTTGGATATCACGTTAAGTGACAAGGCAAAGTTTTCATATCACTATTTCAATCATTTACAGGCGTTTTGGAATTCTTTATTTTTATCTTATTTTTCCTCCTCTCTTGATTTGACATGTGAAAATGTCATGTGTATTACATTAAAATTCCTTGCTAATCTCCGTCAAATTCCTCTCACGGTTACAAGTGTGATTGTGTACACTCAGGGGGCCTTGTAAATGAAAGCAGTCCTGAACATGCCTGTTTCGACCTATTTATTTTTCAAATAATTCTTTGGAAAAAGTTTTGTTCAAAGAGAAAATAAAGACAAAGAAAACAATAATATCAATTCACCATCTGAAGGGTTTCTTCTCCTCAGATATTTTTAATGGATAACATCTCCTTCTCGTGGGTTTGTGGAAGTCTGTCAGATAAAATAAAAGGGATGATGTAGCTTACGGTACATGTGGAAGATCTGTATTTCCTCTTCCAGTGAGATGGCAGTGAAACTTGTCCATCTAACCAAGAGCAACAATGTGGTGAAGTCACGAAGTCTTTTCATAAACCACAACCATCTACAGTGACTAACCACAAAAAAGACCCCCCAAAAACCCGTCTGAGACATACTGGCACTGCTTTCTCCTCAGACAGACAGTGCTCGAGGGACATGAGAACCAACTGCATTTTCTTTCTCTTCTTTACAAAATGGACTGATTGAATCCAGATGGCAATGGAGCTGCACATCATGTTGCAGCATTGAACTTTTTTGCCTTTTTATTCATTTAAACCTGGAAAGAAAGTTTATAGGGTTTTGAAAAATGTGGGGGGAAAATGATATATAAGATTTGTGCTTTAACCATTTTTTAATCCATTCTGCTATTATCCAACTACTGAACCCTATTTATGCCTCCAGAGTAAAAAAACAAACAAAAAAAACCCCGCAATATAATTCCTCTTAACTGTGATTCTATATCAAAACATTTTGAATGCTTCTCGTGTGGCTTTATATCACAAAATTTGACCCGCAATCGCTACTTTATTTCTCGCAATTGCAATTTTATGAACTATACTGTAACTTTATATCTCACAATGTAACTTTATTTCTCAAATTTGAATTCATTTCTCACAATTGTGACTTTGTATCTCAAAATGTGACATCTTTTAATGACTATCTTACAATCACTGCTTTTTCTCACAGTTGTAATATTAAAACTCCAAAATCTAACTGTATATTTAACCATTTAACTTTATATCTCATAATTATGAATTTTTTTTCTTGTAATTCTGAATTTATGCCCCACAATGACTTTATATGTCAAAATTTGACCTATCTTGTCATGACTGTATCTTATAATCGCTACTTCATTTTCACAACTGCAATATTATACCTCTCAACTGTAACTTTATAACTTGCAATATAACTTTGCCTTACAATTATAATGGTGACTTTATTGTCAGCAATTTGACTTTATATTTAAAAATGTTGACTTTGTCTCATAATTGTGATTTTATATCTCATAATAAATCTAAAAAAAAAAAAGAAATCAGTTAAACCTCCCAAACATAACATAAATCTTGAAATGTAACTTTGTCATCTCACATTTATGATTTTGTTTCTGATAATTATGATATTCCACAGCGTGACTTTATATCTCACAATTTTACATCTCATAATGACTATATCTCATAATCACTTTATTTTCAGCAGTTGCAATATTAAACCTTATATCTCACAATGGAACTTTATATCTCACAGTAATATTTGTCTAATAATTATTGTTTTATATCCCACAATGTGGCTTCATAGCTCAAATTTTAAATGTTTCTCATAATTGTGACTTTATATCTCAAAATCTGACTAGTCTCGTAATGACTGTATCTCACAATTGCTGCTTTATTTCTCAGTTGCAGTATTATACCATCAAACTTGTATGTTAAACCTCCCAAACATAACATAAATCTTGAAATGTAACTTTGTCATCTCACATTTATGATTTTGTTTCTGATAATTATGATATTCCACAGCGTGACTTTATATCTCACAATTTTACATCTCATAATGACTATATCTCATAATCACTTTATTTTCAGCAGTTGCAATATTAAACCTTATATCTCACAATGGAACTTTATATCTCACAGTAATATTTGTCTAATAATTATTGTTTTATATCCCACAATGTGGCTTCATAGCTCAAATTTTAAATGTTTCTCATAATTGTGACTTTATATCTCAAAATCTGACTAGTCTCGTAATGACTGTATCTCACAATTGCTTCATTTCTCAGTTGCAGTATTATACCATCAAACTTGTATATTGAAATGTAACTGTCTCACAATTATTATTGTGACTTTATCTCTCACAACTGGACTATAAACCTCAGAAATCTCACAACTTCAAGCCTTCTTTACAACAGTGACTTTATTTCTCACAATTGAGCCTTTATTTGTCACATTGTGACTTAATATGTGGCACAATGTGTGTTTCTTATAACTACTTTTATTACTCCATTGTGACTTTATATCTCAAAATCTGACTAGTCTCGTAATGACTGTATCTCACAATTGCTTCATTTCTCAGTTGCAGTATTATACCATCAAACTTGTATATTGAAATGTAACTGTCTCACAATTATTATTGTGACTTTATCTCTCACAACTGGACTATAAACCTCAGAAATCTCACAACTTCAAGCCTTCTTTACAACAGTGACTTTATTTCTCACAATTGAGACTTTATTTGGCACAATGTGTGTTTCTTATAACTACTTTTATTACTCCAAAGCAGTCCAATGTAACTCTTCCAAAGTAACCCTTTTCAATATGAACAATGCTTGCAAAACCTCTTCTCCCTCATACTCTATGATCAAACCAGAACATTTACTTCATATTGTAACCAGCATGCAGCTGGAATAAATACAGTGGTCAACTACAATCAGAAGGCCTCATGCTGCAAACCTCCGAATCTTGTGTTCCCTAACTTGAAAAGTAATCTGGACAAAATACATGTGGACCCAGGCCTCTGCTAAACCTATAAGCTTAGAAACATCATGCTGCATCTGATAATTGGGAAAAGACTGTAACTGCATTGAGATTTTCCAAGATTATTCTCGTAAAGTTTGCAACCGAATAGTCTTGACGGTAACAAACCCTGGCGTTCCTCTAAACATGAGCTTTTGCGTGAAATTCAGTGATGAAACGTCACAATACTTTCCAAAACATTTCACAATGGCCAGTGTGGCCTGTGAATTAGATATTTTACAGCATGTTTGAGCACAAGTGTGCATGTGATTATGTCCTAATGGTATAAATATGATTTATATATGGCGCTGGCATGGCTGATGTGGAATTTGTTACATGGGGGTAAGAATGTACTAAACGGCTGCCTTGCTTTGCCTCAACAAGGAACAGAAGAAATGAGTCAGCAGTCATGAGTCTTTTACCCCGCTGCAGTCTGTATATGGGAATATATGCATTTATAACTGCTGTTGGTCCAACATAGCTTATGGAAAAGGGCTTGTAGGCCAAGTCCAACATTAACATCTTCAAGCAAGGTATTATCAAAATTTGGCGTTTTGTATAATGATTGCTTTATTTCTTGCAATTGCAAATTTTTTTACCTCAAAACTATAACTTTATATCTTGCCATTCACATTTCTGAATTTGTTTCTCATAATTGTGATTTCACATCCCACAGTGTAACTTAATATCTCAAAATTTGACTTACTGTATCTCATAATGACTATATCTCTAAATCACTACTTTATTTCTCCCAATTGCAGTTTTAAACCTCCTAACTGTAACTTTATATCTTGCAATTTGGCTTTATATTTAACAATTCTGAAATTGTTTATCATAATTGTGATTTTATATCTCAAAATTTGACTTATCTCATAATGACTTTATCTCTCAATCACTACGTTATTTCTCACAATTTACCTCAAAACTGTAACTTTATATCTTGCAATGTAGTTTTATATCTCACAATTCTGACTTTGTTTATAATAATTGTGACATTTTATTACACATTTGTTATTTTATATCTCAAAATTTAACTTCTCATAATGACTATATATCTCAGTCACTAGTTTATTTCTCACAATTGCCATACATCAAAACTGTAACTTTATATCTTGCAGTTGTATCTCATAATTCTGAGTTTGTTTCTCATAATTGTGACTTTCTATCCCACAACTGATTTTATATCTCAAATTTTGAATAATGACTATATCTCACTCGTTTATTTCTTACATTTGCAATTCCTCAAAGCTGTAACTTTATATGTTGCAATGTAGTTTTATTTCTCACAGTTCTGAGTTTGTTTCTAATAATTGTGACTTTTTATTGCACAATTGTGATTTTTTTTTATCAAAATTTGACATCTCATAATGACTATATCTCTCAGTCACTAGTTTATTCCTCACAATTGCAGTGCTTCAAAACTGTAACTTACAACGTGGCTTTATATTTCACTTTTTTTTCCCCAGATGATTGTGATTTTCTCATAGTTGTGGTTTTGTGGCAAAAAGTTACATTTTCTCCACAAGACATTGCAAAGAAGTTTATTTTGGACCCTTTCTGTAGCGCGTTTGTATCTTTGTTCTGCAAATATGTTCCCATGAGTCATGTCTGAATGACCTGCAGTGTCCCATAGATATTTATAGTGCTTTATGTGCTTTGTCCGGACACAGTACATGCCGGTGGGAGTTTATGTGCTATCACTCATGGACTGTTCCCATGAAGCAGGTTGTCCTCACAATGAATACACTGGTGTTGCTGCGCGAAGCAGCTATTGAAAGCCTCTCGAGTCCATCCGCCGTGAACTTGTCTCTAGTCCGGTCCTAATTAGGAGGAACTTGCTCTAACACGCACACTTTACCACCAAAAAGCTCTTTTCACTTGCTTTGAACATGTTATTATTTCTGGTCAGTTTCCATGAGTTTTAATGGTTATTTAGTCCACAACAAATAAGTGTTAACATGCCAGGGCATTTCCTTAGTGAAGACTCCCCATCAAATGGCATGGTGACGTAATGTTTAATTTGGGAAAAATGTGCTTCATTTATTTTAAGCCAATTAAGGATCCACAGTATTTAAATATCATAAAACGTATTAATCTCAGCCTTAATTTCTGCTTTGTGGCTTTGAATCCTATATTTTTTTTCACTGAGTTTTGAAAACTTTGAAAACACGATAAAGACAGATTCTTGTCTTTGATTTGAATAAACACTTTGCACTAACCTCTCAAGTCTGTTTTCAAAGACGAGATTCCCTCAGCACATCAGGTGTAATTATCTTGTCTTTGTATTGAATATCCAGCTGAGGCATTTTGTTTTGTTGTGCTATATGTGTTCAGAGATATCACAGTTATCAGGGTTTGCTGTGTGGTTGTTGAGTGGCATTGGTATTGGCACACTCTTGCATTGTTAATTGATTTGGCTCCTCCTCGTCAAGCTCCCAGATGAACTGCAATTAGTGATCACCGACATGCTAAAGCAGTCTGTGTCGCTCCAGGACTACAATAATTCTGAGTGATTTGTGGCATGATTATAATGAAATGCTTTGGCTTTTGTTGTTTTGGGACTTGATGTTCGTTTATAAGGCTTGATTATATGGTTCAATGATGTATAAGAGTGTACATTTTAAAGAAAAGTGGAAACAATCTAGTTTGAAACATGTCAAGTTGTTTGAAATGTAGTCTTTGTATAAAGACTTTCTTGTATTTAAAAAAAAAAAAACATTTAAATTGAATGACTCCAATATCAAATGAAATATCATGAATTATTAATTTATAAACATAAAAAGTTTTGGGGAAGTGCACAATAGCACCACATAAAATGTTACTATCTGAATTAACAACAACAACAACAAAAAGATATTCTAAGAGTTTTATTGACCCTGCTGTTTTATGCATGTTTCTGTATGTTGGTTGCATAGCCTATTGTAGTTAACTAATACTAAAACCATTTAACAAATATTTTAGCTAGTTGCCAGGTTTCTCATTTTCAGTTAGTTTAATTTAATGTTTAAAAATAACTAAAACTGAAATAACAATAAAAAAACATTTTATCAAAAACTAATAAAAATGACAAAAAAATACTAAAACTTTAACTAAAATTAAAATAAAAAATAAACACATTGAAAATATAAATATAAAATGATCTCAGTGATACTACAATAACACTGGCACATTGGCAGACAAAAGATTTTCAAATGTTAATAAGCAGTAAATCACTTTAGTTTGTTTATTTATTTATTCATTGTAAAAAATAATAATACAACATTATGACAAACAACCTAATTCTTAATAAGAAACCATTGTTTCATTCTTTTAATGAGGCTTTTTTTGTTTTATATCAGAACAGTTGTACCACCTGACATTTCTGACATTATGTCTCCCCCGAAAATTATTAAAATTAATTTTAATTATTATTTTTTAACACAATCATAATACATTCTTAAAAATAAAGGTTCCAAAAGTCATGCTTTTCACAGTGACGCTATAAAAGAACATTTTCTTTTTTCATTCCTCAAAGAGCCTTTTAATGAAAAAATATCAATTTTTCTTAGTCTGAAGAACTTTTTAAAAGTCTAAAAACCCTTTATTTCCACTATAAAGAACTTTATATATATATATATATATAATCCGGACCAAAAAAAAGGAGCCTCATGTCATTGAGCCATATAAAAAGGAGAGCGTCTAGCCTATAAAAGCATCATGTAATGAGAATATGCTGAGCACAGCACCGAGAAACACACTTGATATTCGTTCTTGTATTTAAACAGTTGTGAAAACACAGTCGTCCTTCTTACCGTAATGCAATCTGATTGTTGTTATGGAGAGTAAATCCACTGCAGTAGACTGTTTCTGTAATGTCAGGTGGATTAACGTTTCAGACACAAACGTTTAGACTACATGACAGGGTGGGAGCCAGTATCTCTGGCACTAACACAGGACCACCTGCCAGTTTCTTCCTTTCTTCCTTCACACTTTAAAACACATACCTATTTCGTTTCAAATACAATGTTACTTTTTTTCTTTGAAAGGACTTGTTTTGGCATTTCTGAATGTTCAGTGTTACATTCCTGTCAGTATTTGTGTGATTTTGTTACCCACACTGAAGGAAGTCCCCCTTCTCTGCTTGCAAAACATGAAAAGTGCATACTTCAACAGTATTTGGCACCACAGACAGATCAAGGACTATGGTTAGGTTGCATATTCTTATGTAACAGTAGCAGTGGAGAGAGTTGCTCTCAGTCAGCAAAGAACAAATACAGTGTGAGGAGGTGTACGGTTACCGTAGTATATCCATAGTGTTACAGTGCATTTGAGAGTTGTGCAGGGAATCTATATGTTTGGCCTAGACAGTATCCTCTAGGTTTGGCTCCAATCATGAGCTTGGCCTTCCTCCCGAAGTCTTAGGCCCACCCTGATTGTCCAAAAAAAAAAAAAAAAAAAAATGATGAACTAGTTTGGAGGTCTGTTTCACAGCTTTATGTCTTGGAAGAGGCAAAAATTGTGATGGCTGAACATCAGAGATTAAAAAAAAAAAAAAAACAGGTTTTAGTACATTACCTGATAGAAAACAGGAGATTTAAAGGGATAGATCACCAAAAAAAGCTCTGTCATCATTTATTTGATTTCTTTTGTAGAACACAAAATTAGATATTTAGTAGAATGTGCAAGATGCTCAACTGACCCTATGCAGGGAGTTTGATTGACAGGCGATCTGACCAATCCTAACGCCGAATGCGCCATTTTGTCCAACAAACAAACCAGACAAGAGAGAGTAGATTAATGTCCATGGACTTGAACTTGAAAAATTGTGTATTGACGTGTTTCTGCTGTTGAAATAAGACACCTTCTGATGCTCATTCATGTTTATTTCATGCTATAAGTAAAGAGTAAGAGATGATTGGTTCACATGCCGTTTGAACGACACATTAAATGGCATTTATTGTTAGAATTTTTTTTTTAAATGACCAAATTTGAAAGCTGAGACTTTGTTTCATACCAAAAGTAACCTGCTCTGTCTTGTCTGTCGGCGTGTTGTCAGTGTCCTCTTTGCTCCTCTATGTATTTTTCGAAGAAAAAAAATTACAACAGAAGTGGCTCATGTGAGTCGTGCACTATATTCCAAGTCTTCTGAAGTCATATGAAATAAAGATGATTTAAAATATGAATATTAGATAAAAAAAACTTTGAACTTAACAAACGGCCCTGCCAACGTTGAAGTACTAAAATGGCTTGTCAATGACTGAAATGACTTACAATCAAGTTACATAGAAATTAAGCTATATAGAAATATTTTTAAAAAGCTATTAAAATGTATAAAAGCTTATAAACTTACTAAAATTAAAACTGATGATATCAAAAATGTAACATTCATATACAGTAAACACTGATTCAGAGTATTGATAAAAACTATAATTGTATGTAATAATGCTAAAATAGCACTGGAAATACATGGGCCTAGAAATGTGATCTTCAGTATTTTTTATTATTTTTATTAGCAACACTATTTCCTCATTGTACAGTTGCTTTGAATAAAAGCATCCGCCAAATTAATACATGTAAATCACTAACAAGAATGTACTGTACAATGATGACAGAGAAAGCTAGCAACTGGCAACACTTTTTATACATTTTCACAAAAGGCAGTTGAAAAAAGTTTCCCTGATTTGATCAATTTCGACGATGCAAAAACCACCAGTATAGATAACACAGTCCATTACATGTAGGCCTAAAGAAGTTGTTCCCACAATTAATAATTCATTTACAGTTAAACTGTAGCAAAATCTGGCCACGATTTACCTAAAACAAGGGAACAAATGCTTAATTTGTGGCCATGATATCTTAATTGAGCAGGGCAGGGTTCCATCATTTCCTGAACATGAATGGAAAAAATATGTTTGTGCATTGAAATTACTCCTCACAGCGGTAACCACTAGAGAAATATGAGCAGTAGACAGTATTGTATGTTTGGATGAAGCTGGTGCCTTAAGTTGGTGAGGTCTGGGTGTGAAGAACATCCTGACCCAGAGTAGCTTTAACATCCTGCTGGAATAAAACCTGACACGCATTCCTTCACTCTTCATCATTACAACAACATTCAGACTGTAGCGCTTCATTGACATCTTGTGGTCAGTTCATTAAACAACACTTCATATTGTGTCAAAAGAGCAAGTATGATGCTACATGCACTTTTACAAGTTGTTTGAACTGAAATGCGTGTTGGCAGTGTGTGTACACAACCACCCTATAATGATAAAAATCCACCCAGTGTTTTTTTTTAATCTCGTTAAATGTTTTCCCCTTTCTCAAATCAAGCCGATCTCAGATGCCTGTCTGTGTAGCGTCACAAAAACAGGCCCCTCCCACGATAGACATTGATTGACAGTAGCGTCTCAGCACAGACTAGACTGGCGTCTTACCTTAGACCCGCCCTGAGTGAGCTGTCATCAGTCCGCCATTGTTTCACCGCTGGAGCAGATGTAGACAAGAATGACCTAATGCCGAGTTCACACTGCACGATTTTCAAAGACATCGCTTCACACTGAACGACATGAGCCGCTGAAGACGCAGTGGATTATGTTTGTTTTTGAAGGGAATGCGCCCCCGATCTATATAAATGCGTCTATGTTCGTGTGAATCATTCGTGATCCAGCCTCATCTACAGAAGAAGTGAGTATAAGGTTTTTTAATGAATCTTTGCAAATCGCCTTTCCTAATAATGTGCTAGCTAGCAAGTTTCGCGGCTAAATGCAGCTAAATGCGGCTAAAGTAAAACAGGATGTCTCCTCACGTCCTGTGGAAGAGAGGGGCGGGGGGGGCAGAGCTCATTAGCATTTAAAGCAACATGCAAAAAACGGGTTGATTTCTGCTTTTAACCAAACTATGTTACAGACTTTTCATTAAGACCCTAAAGAATCATATCAACTTAAAACTGTCTGGGCCGATATATTCGAGCAAAACTGGCCACAATTCAACAGCCTATTAATGTTACTATTGGGTTTTTGGTATTTATTGTGAATTATTATTTTACCATTTAAAAGAAAATGTGGACATGAAATACTGATTTGAATAATCATTTCTTTTATTTGTAGAGATGTATGCCTAAGTCAGTTATACAGTGTAGGGGTTGAACGACTTCAGATTTTTTGAAGTCGACTTTTATGTGATGAAAGTCGAGTCGAAGTTGACTAGTTGCTGATGACGTCATTAATTAACAAATAAGTCTGGAGCTGTGACAAACAGCTTGTGCAAAGCTATGGCATGTGACACAGCGCTGCCCACATGGCTGTTGCTCCTATAACGGCTCTTTTATCAGTTCTTTTGTCTTTGGGTCGTTATATTTCTCACAGATTTCTGCTCGTTCTAAATCAGATACAGATAAAGTAGCACAGTAAATATATGCTTGAA